TCTTCTGAGAAGTAGAAGCTCTGCCCGCTTCCTCTCAAGCTGGGCGGGAGTTTCCTTCCATCTCTCTACCTGTGCCTTAGAACTCCACGCTGGTCCTCCAAGACTGACTCTTGATGTCTGCAGGAAAGATCTGGGAACAGGGAAATCTGCTTTCTCTCTCATAGCAGATGGTCCTGATTCTCAACTCATCTTCTCTTTCCCTCTTCCTCTTCTTGAAAACACCTGTTTTCGCTCTGAAATCCACCTTGCCTTCACATCACCTTTGTGCTTCGGGGGAAGATTGCCCCAACTTCAGCTCCAGGGGCAGTTCTGACTGGTGCCACGGAATCCCATCCCACTTGCCAGGGTGATGGTCCAGAAACCCAGGCCTGAGTACAGGGTACGCCCCTGGCCATAGGAACTGGTATGTGACTCTAGCCAAGATGCAAAGGGAGACTTCTGGGAGCTTCGAGAAAGGTGTTTCCTTGCTCTTAAGAAGGATCTACCAGAAGAGACAGGATCTCCCTTTCTCTAAGTATCATGGTCATGACTGTGCAGCCTAGCCATTGGCTTTTTGAGGGAAGACAGCCCATGGATGAAACTATCAGATAGAGGACAGCACAGCCAAAGGACTACAGAGGAATGGGCTAGAGTTGCTGGATTAAGCCAGACCTGAAGCACACCCTATCTCCAGAGTCTGGCTACCTGAGCCAGTACATCTCATTGTAGAGGCCATTTGTGTTGGGCTTACTGGTATCTGCAACCCAAAGCATCCTAACCAGTATGTCACTCACTAAAGCCAGTTTCTAATACTACTGTCTTGCTATAGGCTTTGAGGTCTTATTTTGGGAGTCAAAGGCTAACTAAGCATTGTCCTTTGTCCTATTTGTATCACTGTTCTATTTTAATCCTCCCTGAAGAAAATGGATGCCTCTGGCTGAATAGGAGGAAAATGTCACATAAGGAAGTATGAGAAAGACACATGTTACTGTATTTCCAAGAAATTACCCACATTACACTGACATTCACACAAAACTCTGGGGTAAGAACCTCTAAACTTTAACACGGGTTGGCTCTGGGGAAGGGAATTTGGGGGGAAGCAGACCTCCCTTTCTGAGTTGGTGTTACTGTAACGTTTGGAGTTTTAGAGCGAGTATAAATTACATTTATAATTTAAAATCCTGATGATTTAAAGTAATCCAAGTTAGTTTAGCTTTCACTAAAAGCATCCACAGTTCCCTTAGGTACCTGTTATGGCTCAACTGTCAATCATGCAGGAAGTTTATTGGTCAGACACAGCAATGACTCAAGAAGGATAGTAACAATTTTTTTTTTTTTTTAAGTTGAGAGTTCGAGTTTTGACACCTTGCGCGGGCCCTATCCTAGCTGAGTGAATGTTCTCTGCCCCAGGAAGATCTCATCCAAAGTCAAATGATGGTTTGCAGGACTTTGGCATCTCCTGGGGATCTGAAGAGGGTTGTTGTCCAAAGCCTGGCCCTCCGCTCCCTCCCGCCCCAGAGTCTCAGGACAGAAGGCACCCGCACCTGTCTGAATGTCCCAGCCTGGGCTCACATTCCTGCAGTAATGGTGCTGCATCCTTCTGGGACAGAGCTGAGGACCCTCGGCACCTCCGGAGGAATCTCTGGGCTCTGGGCACCGGAGGCCACAGCTTAGACCCCAGAGCCCCTGGTTCACCCTTCTCTGCCCAGGGTCCCAATCTCTTCCTAAGATCTTGACTTCAGGGTTCTCTTCTTGGCTTGGTCCTAATGCAGCATTCAAGCCCAGCAGGCCTAGCTCTGACACTTCTCCAGGCTCTTGCCAGGAGCCCCGGGCGGGTGGAAGGAGCCTTTGCCCTTGACCAGGAAAAATCCCAGGGCTGACCCTGTACCCACTAGTAAGGGCTAGAGAGGCTGAGCTCTGAGCTCAGAGCTTGGGGAGGGGAAGAAGAAAGACCAAAAAGAGGAAAAGCTGGAGAAGAGGCAGGTTCTCTGGGACCCACTTGCCCCTGCCCACCCTCCTCTCCTCCCTGGCCTCATCTCTATACTTAGCCCCAGACTCCGTTTCCTCTCCGGACGCCCTGTCTCCAGAATCAGAAAGAGCCTCAGTGTAGACCCCCAGAGGGTACCACATGGGCCCCACTTCGAGAATCTCAGCTCTCAGAAAGGCTAGCATAGGGCACCTTAACACTCCCCTGTGCCCCTGCCTGGGAGTGGGGTGGGTCTGGATTTCTCCCATGCTCACCTCCTCCGTGAAGGACTGGCCTCCCAGAGGAAGACCCTCTGGACCCCCTGAACCTCCTCATCCACCTCTGACCCCTGTCTGAACAGGCAGCAGCTGCCCCAGGGTCTCCTGCCCCATTCTGACCCCCCGCGGCTTCCTGGTCCCCAGGCCCTGAGCTGAGCTCTGGGCTCAGAGAGGAAGGCAGGCCGACCCCCACCTCAGGACAGCCTGCTGCAGCAGGTGAATAGGGCCGGGAGAAAGCACTGTGGGGACTCTGCCATGAGTCCCACGGCTGCTCAGCCTGATGCCACCTGGGCTGTGATGCGGAATTGAAGCCAGTCCCTGCCCTCCACAGGCAGCTCGCCTTCCCGGCAGGGATCTGTGGGGACACCCTCACTGGACACAGCATCGCACATCAGTGTTGCCTGCTCAGAGAAGTCCTCCCTGACCACCCCCCCCCCGCCCCCCCCCCCCCCCCCCGCCCTGGCCCAGCTTCTTTAAAGCACCTACTGCTTTGTTTTTCTGGTCATTTCTCTCCCCACACTGAAGTGTAAGCTCTTTGAGGGCAGGGTGCCCGTGTGGTTCGTGCATCCCCAGCCCCTGGGCCACTGTAGGCACTGACTGTGGGTTCAGTGCGCCCGAATGAAGGGTGGGAATGGAACACGGCTCTTGTCCCTCCCTCTGCCTCCCCAGTCACCTAAGCCAAGCGGTTCCCCAGTCCTACAGAAAGTGCCTCTTCCCCTGCTCTGCCCCCTTGCCTCTCCCTCTCCCCAAACTCTAAACCCCATCCCGCCGGCCATTCCTTGGCATTTCTTCATTTCCAAGGCCAGCTCCAAATGCAGGCACACTGATATCACTTGCTCCCGGCCTCTCTCACTCTTGTGCCTCAGGCACTTGTTTGTTTACGAGTCTGTGTCCCCGCCCCCCCACCCCACCCTGCCAGCCACCGTCCCCCAGCCCCACCGCTGCTCTTGAAATAGATGGTCTTCTGAGCTGAGCAGGGGCCAGTTTCTCTCCGTGTGTGCCCAGGGTGCCCACGGAGAGCAGGCCTGGCTACCACACGGAGCTCGAGAAGCGTTTGTTCTAAAGGAGTGGGTGAACAAGTGAATGGATGCGCTCCCGTTAGTGAGCGGGTACATGAAGGAGCAGGCAGATGCATGAATGAACGAGAGAAGGAGTCACTGAGTGAATGAGTCAGTGACTGAGGGAAGGAGGGGGAGGGAATGGAGAGTATCCTGTGAAGGAGAGCGAGCCCAGAAGGGTTCCCAGCCTTTTCCAGCAGCCCTGGCATTAGAAAGTCCCCACCACCCCTGGGCCCGTGCTCTGTGCCAACCAGACCTCACGATGCCTCCTCCCAGAGCCAGCTCACGTCAGTGCTGCTTAGCACACGCTCTCTGATGCTGGCCAGACCCTGGCTGGGCCATGAATCAGACAGGGCCCTGCCCTGGGGCTCCCAGGACTGGGGGCAGACAGACAACCTCATAAATAAACCCGATGCCATGCTGGGCAGACATGTGTTTCGGCAGAGCGGTGAGCTCAGGGCTGGCTCTGGAGCCTGGGGCAGGGCAGAGCCGGACAGAGGGATCTTCGAGAGCCTCAGGGGGAGGGACCTCAGAGCTGCACCTGGAAGGATAGGGAGGGTGGAGGAAGGGCACTCAGGGCAGGAGGGACAGCACCAGCAAAGGCCTAGCGGCTTTGGAATACAGAGGGCTGGGAAAGAGCAAGGGATGGGCTTGGCGGGACACGACCCCTGTGAATGCTAGGGCCCCGAGCCGGGGATGGGGACATAGCAGGATGTAAGGCAGGGTTATGGGCTGGCAGCCCTCTGTGATCCAGAAAGAAGATAGGGGTTCCAGGGAACTGCTACAAGGAACATTCCAAGGAGTTTTCAGGGTGCTCAGGGCTGAGGCCTGCTAACAGGTTTTACATAATTTAGCTTGTGGTTCCTTTCCGTGAAGAAGTGTCCATCATTCTCCCAGTGCTAAGACTCCTCACCTTCAGGGTTCCCAGATTGGAGAGGTTATTTTGGGGGGGAGTTTATAAGTCAGGGTTGTTTTGCAATGGTTCCAATCATGGGGGAGGCCCTGGGATTTCTGGAGCAAATCAGGGAATTTCAGAGTTACAGGGAACCTCGAAACTGGGTCCGTGGAGGCCAGGGATGCCGCTGAACATCGTACAAGGCACAGGATGGCCTTCCACAGCAATGAATGTTCCAGTCCGAAATGTCAATCCTGCCGAGGTTAAGCAAGCCCGCTTTAGAAGCTGAGAGGGCTGAGGACGCTGGATCAAAAGAGGGTCCCCAATAATGACAGTAGCTCCTCCGGTGTGCCGGGAGCCGCACTGAGTATCTGCCCCCAGTGGCTCATGTAATCTAGTCCCACTTCAAGGATGAGGAAACTGAGTACTAAGGAGGTGTGCAGTGACTTGCCCAGGGGCACAGAGCTGGCCGCTGGAAGCAGGATTCCAACTCAGGGAGTTGGGCCCCAGAGTCCGTGCTCCCGGATACGACGTCTCAGGTCCCCAGTAGTTGCGGCCGAGCTGGGACTTGGGCCAGGACTCCACTCTCCAGGACAAACGCCCCTTATGCTTGCACTGTGCCCCTCTTCCGTGCCAGGGTCTCAGACTCCTCCGCTGCAGAAGGGGAGCTTGGCCGCCAGGACCTCCGTGTGTCGGGGATGCAGTGGGCGGGCAGGAGGCAGAGCCCAAGGACAGAGGGCCTTTGTCTCCCTGCAGATGCGCAGGCAGGCCTGGGCTGTGCTGCCCGGCCCAGGGGCCAGTTGGGTGCAAACTCATTAGCCGGCTGCTGAGGCTGCCAAGGAGACGAGAACAATTACAGGGCCGAGCTCCAGCCAGGAAGGGGGAGCCGCATCGGGAGAGCCGCTGAGCTGCCCGGCCCTCGACCGTGGGCCCGGCTTCCTGGGAGGCAGTTGCAAAGTTTGTCTTCAGGATGGCAACAGTGGCCGCATCCTCGCTGACAGAACCCACCTTGTGCTGGGCTGGGCACGTTTCACTCCCATCTCCTTTCATCTCCAAACGCCCTTGGGGTCGGAATGATTAACTCCATTGCGTTCACTGACCCATCCACCCATTCTTTCAACAGATATTTATTGAGTGCCTACTACGTGTCAGCACCGTGCTGGATCCTAGAGATGCAGCAAGGAAAAAAACCAGGAAAAAACCTTTGCTCTCACGGAGCTTACACCCAGGAAGGGGGAGACGAACAACAAAAAGGAACGAACAAGGTAACTGCAAGCTGAGGTCAGGGCTGTAGCAGAAACGAAGGGGTAGGTGGAAGGTAGGTTGGGGAAGGCCACTTGACACAAAGTGGTCAGGGACGCCCTCTCTGAGGAGGTGGCAGGGGAGGAACCGAGGCTCAGAGAGGAGAGGTGGCTTGTCTGAGGTCACACAGCCCATGAGTGGAGGAGCCTGCTTCCTCAGGACCCAACTTAGCCTCCTGTCACCCAGCAGGCCACTCCCCGCTAGGGCGCGTGGCCCCCAGCACAACAGCGTGTAACGTTGGCACAGTGTGTCCGATGCCTCCCTCCACTGGCCTCAAGAAGGAGGTAGGTTTCCCACCTCCACTTTCCAGGTGGAGGACTGAGGCCCAGAGAGGGGCCACAAAAAGCCCGAGATCCTGCGAGGCAGTGACAGAGAGGGAACTTTTGGTCCCCAAACCTGTGTTCCTTCTGCCACATCACACCCTTCCTGGCCATGCCCTTAGGCCCGTACTAAGCACTTAGTAGGCCTGTAAGAAACAGATTAATGGACAGATTGTGTGGCCTTGGACAAAGTTCATCTCCCATTGGGGCTTCCATTTTTCCATTAAAAAAACATGAAATTGGTCTCAACCAGCTCTGAAATACCCACGTTCATCCTATCCAATCCTCATCCCTTGAGGAGGGCTGTGGCCCAGGGAGACAGATAAAGGAGGCTCCCCCACCATAGCCCCACGGCAGGGAGGACCTTGCAACTCCAGCCAGTTTGGCGGGAAGAACACTCTGCCTGGAGCAAAGTGCAGAGCAAAACCCTGGGGGTGGAAAACGGACTAGTCAAGGGCCAACAGGCATCATTTAGGGAGTGGGGCGCCACCAGGGACTCTCATCCAACAGCCTCCCTCCTTCCTCCCGTTCCCAATGCCTGCTACCTGCCTGAGGTCTCAGGCCACCACTGCCTCTGCCCCTTCTCAATTCCAGTCCGGGCTTGGGTACGAGAGAGTCTCCCGGGGGAGGGGCTGAGGCACGCTCCAAATACATCTGGGCCACCAACCACACAGACCGGGCGACCTGGGTCACGCAGCCATTCCTTTCCTTGACATCAGGGTTCCTATCGGTTCATGGACGAAGGTGGCAGAGTAAAAGGTAGGGTTTGTGAGTACTTCCTTCAAGTCAGGCAGCAATCAATCCCTTGAGACAGGTGATATTACAGATTTACAGATAAGAGATCTGAAGCTGAGAGAAGGGAGGGAGGTCACTCGCCCGGGGCTGCACCCTTGGAAATGGCCCAGTGGAGATTTACCCACAGGTCCATCTGACTCCAGAGCTCTACGCGTAACAAAAAGCTACTAACCTGTGTAAGCGGCTGTGCACTTTGATCCAAGTAACAACCGGTCCCCAGGACTTGAGCTTTGGGAAATAATCCAAGAGAGCCTCGGTCATTTCCGAAATCAGGCGGCTCCGGATAAACTGGCTAATTGAGCACCAGCCTCCTGCCAGTGCCCGCTCCTGTGACCCCCACCCCGACCTGGTGACCTGGGTGTTGCTTTTCCCATACCCCAAGGCGGGAAAGGGTAGCTCTCTTCTATCCGAAAGAAAGCTAAGATTCCGAGAAAGCAAGCCACCCTTCAAGGCCACACAGCCGATAAGCAGAGAACTGAGGTTTGAGCTCTGGCACTGGGGGTCCAGGCTCTGGGGACACTCCCCCACCCTGCCCCCAACGCACCGGGAGACTGCGGATGAATCATTTAGCCTCAGCCTCCTCGGTGCCTCATCTGCAAAATGGGGAGAAGAATGTCTACCGCCTATGACGGTTGCAGGGAGGATTAAGTGAGGGTCTGGCCAGAGGTGATGCTACCACATAAGCATGATAACAGAAATGACGAGACTAATCATCATCATCAACATCCTCATTATAATAATTGCTGATACCAAGGAGACAGCATTATGCCGGGAAAGGAAGCCTTGCCTAGAATTTAGAAGGACTGGCTTCCGATCTCACTTCAGACACGTCCCTCTCCTCTCTGGGCCTCGGTTTCCTCACATATAGAATCGGGGAAGGACACTGAAAACATTTCCTGCTCTGACGGTCTCTGAGTCAGGGAATCCTCGGGCACGGCTAACCTTGGGCTCTGCTGGCTGGTCCTCATCACAGGCTAGCTAGGGGGCGGTGAGGGGGTAGTCAGGGTGGGTCTGGGCCTGAGGACAGCGAGGACATGCCCTAAGGAGGACAGGAGACCCTTAGGCAAGGGCAACAAGGGTTAGACCAAGGGCCCTGCACCAGGCCCACCAGCACAGTCCATGGGCCCTGGTCTAGGGCTCGCCTGGGAGAAGTGTTGGGGTCCCTGCCCACCCTTGGAGGAGATCCCCAGCCTCTGAGAAGGGGCAGTGGAGGAAGGCAAAGTAATAACAGACAGCGGGCTATGGTGATTTGCATAACAAAGGGTCTGGAGCCAGAAAGAGAAAACACTCCTGAGGGTAGTAGGGGTGAAGAGAGAGGTTGTAGGTGACGGGTTGGGGGGAGGGGGGCAAAAGAGGGACCTGGGATGGGGGAGGGGATGAGAGGTGGCCCTGCTGCAGACAGGATGCCCTTCACTAACCTCAGTGGCCTTTTGGATGCTGCCTGTTTGTATCTGGGGACTGGACCCTGTGGTCCTTTTATCTGGGTCACACTGGCCCTGAGGACACCTGCCATGGTGGCCCCTGCCCCAGCACAGGCTGGCCATGCAGGCCGCCGAAGGCCTAGGGAAGTCCGCCGAATGAGAGATCTGCTTCAGCCTTCCCGAGGCTCTCACCTAGCCTACCCTCTCCTCTCCTGCCCACCT